TGATATTTAAAAAGGAGAGTTTTATTTTTATTTTTTCCCCGTCAAGGAAAAAGTGCGTGATCATGGCTCTATTTAAAATGCTGAAAGACTAGAAACAACCTAGAGGTAGTTACATGTTGTATATACAATGCTTTATCATGTTTCAATCAGAATTCATGATGGACTATTATTGCCACCTGTAAAGATGCACTGAAAATGTAAGTGAAAAAACTCCCACAAACTTATATCCACACAAAGTATAGATCTGTAAAGCACTTTACAACCAAGAAATGTATGTATTAATATAACTTCGAGAAGTTGACAAAGGGCAGACAGAATGAGAAGGTGAGAGATGTGTTTGGAAAGCAGTGTTGGCCAATTGGGTAAAGGAAGCGGGCAGTTTAGAAGACTTGGAGTTAAAATATGAGAACAAAAAGAAGGTCAATTGAAGGATTTTGTCTATGTTAAGTGTTCCAGAAGACTTTTAGGAACAAAACTCTGTGCCCTAGAAATGGAAAATTTCCCAGAGAGGTTGAAGGGCAGCATTTTCCCAAAGAGCTTTTGGCAAAATTGTGTATAAAGGTTAATAGGTGTTTCATGTAAATAAAAGTGCAGTGAAGCAGATTTGGGAAATTTAGATTTCATAAAATTAAACAGATGCTTTTGTGTAGGGCTGGACAGCACCTTTACTGCACTGAGCATTTTCTAGGTGAGCAGCATTTCATAAACTCAGCTGCCTGAGGCCACAGAACTGCTCCGCTATGTCACGGGAACAGTTGCTACAGATTAGCTTTGGGAAACGTACTGGGATGTGCTGAAGGTGCACATGAACTGGCATGAGGGGTGCAGCTTGTGGTTCCTGGGGGTGGGTAAGTTGTTTGAGGAGGTAATAAGTTATCTGGCACCTTAGAGGAAATTTCCCAACATGAGGGATGATTGTGTGTCTTTGCCACTACATCTTTTGCTTTTGAATAAAAATTCAAGAAAATAAATCCCATGGCTAATCTAAAAGTAATCTTTGTTTTCATATGAGAAGTATGCTGTATGGAGAAGTCAAACTGGAGAATCTGCATTCGATTTGGGTTTAACCTTTAAAAGACGGCATTTAAAAGACAGCATCATACAAACTCCATATATTTTCCAGGATCAACTGTACAAATAATGGTTTCTTTCCTTTTGCCTGTAAAAAAGAACGTATATGCTTAGGTTTCTGAGTATTTAATCTGTTAGGATTTAAGATAAGCCTATTACAAATTTGTAAAGAAACAGCATATAGGTCTTGGCTGGTTTCAAGGAACTGCCAGGTGAATAATGGATGAAGATGCCTTTTGTATTTAAGTTCAGCCTGATGGAATTCTCCATGTCTTCTCTCCCCCTCACTTGGCCGCACTACATCTCCTGCCCACTCCTCACTCAAGATTGCCAACAAACGGCAGAGCCGACCAGAGCCCATGGCCATGTTCTGTCCTTGGTTCCTTGGACCTCTTTGCATCACTAGCTCAGTTGTCTGTTCCCTCCCCAGAAACACTTGACTCAGCCTCTGTAATGTTGCACTCACCTGGTTTTGGTCTTCTCTGGCACTTTTCAGTTTGCTGTGCAGGTTCCTCTGCTGACTTCTACATGTTTGACACCTGAGGGCTCAGTGTTGGATCCCCTTTTCCTCTTCTGTACTCTCTGGGAGTTTCTGTACTCTCCCTGGGGGTTTCCTTCAGAGTGTCACCCTACATGTCCTCTGCATGTGATGACTCCCAAATCTGTTTTCTCCGCTAAAAACCAACCATTGTGCTCCAGCCACAGATACCTGCTCGCACTGAAGTGTCTCAGAGATGCCTCAGGCCTGTATCCCAAACCAGTTCCTGATAATGCTCTCTACTTCTCAGCTTACTCTTTACTGACTCTTTCCTGTCCATCAGTGGCACCACCATCCTTCCTAAGTTTTCCTCTGCAATCTCTTATTCCACTTCTTTTTACCCTGCCACATGGTCCAGGCCACCATCATCTCTGACTTGAATGACCAGTTTCCTCTTCCTGATCTCCCCACTTTGCACCCTCTTCAGTTGGTTATCATTTGAAATACCAATCTGATCATGACCCCCATTTTAAACAAAGCCTTGGAATGGCTTCCCACCACACAATTTAGAACAAAACAGAACTCATTATCATGGCCATAAAGGGACCTTCACAGTGTGGTCCTTTCCCCTCTCTTTCTACCTCATGTTTTACAGTGTTCCCTTTGCTGTCTATGTCACAGGCACAGTGGCCGATTCTCAGTCCCTCAAGCATACCAACCTCTAATTCGCCTTCACATGCTGGAGCTTTTACGTGGAGCAGCTCTCTGCTGGTCCTCTGCGTGCTGGCTCCTGGTCACTGTGCAGCGTCCCCTCAGGAAGCCTTTGCCGACTCTCCAGAGCAGGATGCTGCCTTCCCTGCCCCGGGACTTGCACCTCTGCTCTCCTTTCAGGGGCCAGTCCCAATTCATGTTGACTCGTACGTGCTATCTCCACACCCGATTGTAAACTTCCTGGAGGCAGAGACATGTTCATTTTACTAAAGTATGATCAATGTACATAGCATGTAGGAAAGTACCCCATAAAATGTTTTGAATAAAAAAATATGAGTGACTGAATTCTGAGCTAAAAACATCTCCAAATGTAAAGGGTTTATTTTCTGTGTAACTTTATTGTGTTCTGAGTATATTGAATATGTATGTCTCTATAGCTGTGAGTTCATAGTAGTCACTTATTGTTTCATTCAACAAATATGGGTTCAGCACAGCGCTAGGGTAGAAATGAGTGATATGTGAGGTAAATTATAAATAGGCCTGTGTCTAAGAGCTCATAATCAAGTAGGGAAAACAGATAAGTAGACAAACAATTGTAATACAGTACAGTAGGTGCTACAATTAAGGCTTGTACTAGGTTCATCAGAGGTACTAAATACAGGTATTTGCAAGGGGTGCCTCAGAGGGCTATTACATGGGCTGGGAGTTGAAATACAGCCAGGTCCACTAGGTAGGTCAGGTGGGAGTGGGAATGCTGGAAGGACATTCATGCTGAGATACAGTATTACATGGTAGAGAGATGTTAAAACAGCAGAGTGCCCCTGGATGCCCAATTCTATTAGGTTCCCTGGTTTCTGATAGCAAACTTTAAGAAGTTGGATAACAAGGCAGCTAAAAAACAAACCCCCACTTTATCCAAATCTATTCAGTTCCTGTGAGTAGGGAGTGTCTGGGTATGGCTATAATGAACAACACCCACGGGAGACACCAGGGTCAGAGGCCAAAGATGGCATAGGACAGATCCAGGCAGAGAAGGGCCCCTGTGTGGGCTAAGGGTGGGGACTTTAGAGCCACTGGAAGTTATTACGCAGTAGCCACAGGATGAGTGTTTCAGAAGAGTCATTGTGGTGACAGGAGACGAGCAGTTTGAGGATGTGGGGCTGGAGGCAGACAGGCAGGTTAGAGGCTAGAGAGCTGCTAGATGAGAGATGAGGAGGGAATGAAATAGACAGCTGGCAGAGGGAGTGGAGGGGACAGATTCAAGAGATTTTAAAATCACTATTTTGAGGGAAAATGATTTCCAGATTTCTGCTGGTTTGTAGAGCCAGGTAGACGGAAGTGTTATTCAAAGAATTTAGAGGGAACCCGGTAAGGAGCCTGTTTTAAGAGGAAAGATGATTTCTTAGAGTTTGAAGTAATGGTGGGATACATACTCGTGATAAGTATGAGATGAGTAAGGTAGATACGCATTCATGGTATTAGAGACCCAGTCATTATGGCGTATGTGACAGTTAACATACATGAGTTAAGACCCAGGGAAGACATGCAGATGGAGAAGAACAACCAAGGACAGAATCCTGGTGAACGTACATGTTTAAAGAGATGGTAGTGGAGAAGAAGTGTCTACAAATACGACCAAGAAAGAGTAGTCAGAGAGGTGAGAAGACAGCAGAGCTGGCCCTCAAAGAAAAGGAAATCACCCAGAGGTGTCATATGCCGTAGGAGCACCATGGTACTAATGGGAAAGTAAGAATCCTTCCATCAGAAGCTAATTAGTTTTCATGACTGCAGACTATACTTCCAACCCTAGTTAATTGTTTTGAAAACATCCAGTCAAAGGAGGGGAAGGGTGAGTGGGTAAGTGGTTGGATGAATTCAGTTTGATCTCTACCTCTGGAAAGTCAATTCAGTACACCAGTGTATTGGGATGGCAGTATATTTTCATGTAAACTAATGTACTATATCTTTACATATACCATGCAATGAAAGCGTAAAGCACTGTTTGATGCAACTTTATTACTAATCATACAGTGACTGTAGTGATTAAAGTTTTTTTAAGGGTGGCATATGCTTTTAATGTAATATCTAGTAGTACAGAAATGATAAAGGAAGCTGTGTCATCTGGAGAAGGCAAATGTCCCTGGTCCAGTCTTAGTTCAGTACCTGGTCCTTAGCTTTGGTCAGGCTATGGGGATGCATTTCATGTTAACCCAACTCCTAAGATACTAGTTTATAAAAAACACACCAAATGCCAATTAAGAAAATTACAGTGAAACACATAATTAAGCAGACAAGCTATTTATGCTTGTTGATATTCTATGGGAAAACATAATCGAGTGAAATATAAGCAGAAGGTGGTTTGGTGAATATAAGCAGATAATTACAGGGGCAGTTTTCTGAATAATCTTATTTTGAAGGTGGGAGAGGAAAATTTGCTTGTGTCCTGTATTCAGAGTTCTATTCCGGGTATTATAAATAAAGCCTAGCTGTAGGTGAGGGCCAGTGATGAGCAGGTGGTATGTCGGGAGCAGAGACAAGTCAGTCCGTCTGCCCTAAGGGCCCTGACCATCTAGCTGGGGACAGGCGGCATTCCCTAATGACAAAGAATTGACATCACTTCTTACTCTAAGGGAACTGGTCTGAGGGATTTGGAATGCTTTGTGTTAGTAAATAATTGTTTATGGCGAGCGGCTTTTGAAATGCATTATCATGCTATAATAATTTTTCTTTGAACCTGCAGGTTCTCCTGAAAAGAAAATCGAACATTCACCCATGAATCAAGAAAGTAGCTCTGCAAACCCTGTGAAGAGTAGAAAGACAAGCCCAGTGTCTAAAGACCACCGGGCTGGAAAGAAAACCTCAGAGCATTCCTTGGTGCAGGGTCACATGCAGAAGGGAAATGAAGACTCTGAAAGTGATTTCGAGTCAGATCCCCCGTCTCCTAAGAGCAGCGAAGAGGACGAGCAGGATGACGACGACGCGCTTCAGGGAGAACAGGGCGACTTCCACGATGACGACACCGAGCCCGAGAACCTGGGGCACAGACCTCTCCTCATGGACTCGGAAGATGAGGAAGAGGAAGAGAAGCACAGCTCTGATTCCGACGATGAACAGGCCAAAGCCAAGGACAGCAACCGGAGCCCTGCCTGCAGAGACACATACAGCAGTGGACCCGTCCAAGGTCCCAGGGTAACACTTCTCAGCCCAACCCACGTACCGTCTGATGTCGGAGTGGAGACTCCCAAACAGCAGTTTGATGTGTTTGGTGCTGTCCCCTTTGCAGTGCATGCTCAACAGCCCCGACAGGGAGAGAGCGAGAAGAGCCTTTCTCAACAGCCCTGTTTTCCTGCCGTGGCACTAGAGCAAGAGGACGTTGATGTATTCACAAAGGCACCCTTTAGCAAGAAGGGGACCGTGCAGGACGGCCGTGCTGTGGCGCTGGAAGCTCAGACTCGCCCTGGTTCTCCCAAAAGTGTAGATATATTTGGCTCTACTCCATTTCAGCCCTTTCCCACATCCGCAAGCAAGAGTGACAGCCACGAGGACCTTTTTGGGCTTGTGCCCTTTGAGGAAATAACTGGGAATCAGCAGCAAAAAGTCAAACAGCGTAGCTTACAGAAACTGTCTTCTCGCCAGAGACGTACGAAGCAGGATTTGTCCAAAAGTAACGGGAAGCGCCACCACGGCACGCCGACCAGCACGAAGAAGACCGTGAAGCCCACCTACCGTACTCCGGAGCGGGCCCGCAGGCACAAGAGGGTGGGCCGCCGAGACTCCCAGAGCAGCAACGAGTTTTTAACCATCTCAGACTCCAAGGAGAATATTAGCGTTGCGCTGACTGATGGGAAAGACAGAGGGAACGTCCTGCCTCCCGAGGAGAGTCTGTTGGACCCCTTTGGGGCCAAGCCCTTCCATCCCCCAGACCTGCCCTGGCACCCTTCGCACCAGGGCCTGAGTGACATCCGTGCCGACCACAACCCAGTGCTGCCTGGGCGGCCAAGACCCAACTCACTCCATGGGTCGTTCCACAGTTCAGACCCGCTGAAAATGGATGACTTTGGCGCCGTGCCCTTTACAGAACTTGTGGTGCAGAGCATCACCTCACCTCATTCCCAACAGTCCCAGCCCGTCGAACTGGACCCATTTGGTGCTGCTCCATTTCCTTCTAAACAGTAGATACTTCTGACAGACTCTGGTGTTAACCCGTTTCAAAAAAGTATGAATAGTTTTATGAATTTGAAACAAAATCTATTTGTATAGCTCTTTATATCATTCATTCTTACAGCTCAATCCGAATAGGTGATTTTTAAATAAACCAAATAGAAACAGGAAGTATCTCCACTGGGTGTAGTGACTTGGTGTCTCTTCCACGCGGGAAGAGGGAGCTGCATTGGAAGCTCTGACCTAGGGTTTCAGCTACTGGCTGACAACAGCACAGAAATCCAGGGAGAGTGTATGGCCCCGTCCCTGTTGGGCAGCCACTGAAGAGGGATGGGAAAGCCGCGATGTTATTTTTGTACCAGAATGTCATGTTTGTGTGCGTATCCAGGCTCATTCTAGAACCCAGCATAAAACCAAGGCTGTCTGTACATACACAGGCTGCACTTGCGGGGTTTTTTTCACTTGTGGATTTTTTAAAGGTCTCTTTTAATTTCCACACAGTAAAACAGAATCCTGTTCTCATAAAGAATTAGGAGGTTATTATCTGGAGAACACAGAGATTTTAGTCCTTCTACCTTTCTCTACAAAGTAGAGCCAGAAGTAACTATTGTGCCTAAAACTTTCATTTTTAAAAACAAGTGCCATTAATATGGAATATCTACGTGGAAGCCTGGAACAAAAACTTAAGAGATATCTGATGTGTGCAAAATGTAAAAGAAAAAATTATACAGAAGAAACAGTACTTGAGGAACATTTAATATTCTGCTTTTGAATGGCTTCTTGCTCAAAACTTTTACTATCACGTCCCTAATAAAGGAGATGATTGGAAAACTGGGAGTGAGAGAGAATAAGGGATATGTAGAATTTTATTTCAGGAAAAAAATATGTAGCTGAAACCCTGAGTTTTTAAGACGTTTACAATGTAAAATCATGTTGCATTTAGTAATGTACTTTATTAAATTACTACCTTCACCAAATATTCTCTAAGTCATAAGTGACAGTGTTTTTCATTAGGTTTGGGGGTGGGGTAGTTGTAATGAAGTGCACAGAACAGTCGAAGCCACAAGCCTTATAGGCAGGACCCCGGATCCTGCTGCGAGTACCTCTGCACCGATGAAGAGATCTTAAACTGCCTACAAGGTACCTAATGAGGAGGGACTAGTGTCTTAATTCTGCTAGTTGATTGTGTCTTTAGTGAAAAGAACCCAGCTACCAAATTGCCTTTTTTTTTTTACACCACAAATCCTAATGAGAAACTTGAGATTTTACAGAAACCGTCTAATAAGATAGAAATTGCATATATTAATTAATGTGAATGCAGTGTCTATGCTTCCTATGTCTTCAAGTATTTTAAGTTATAGTTAACTGTCCTCTCCTATCAAATTAACATGTAGAAGTTTCTAGAACTGTTAAAACTATTTGCAAAATGGGTGGAAACTCTCATCGACTGGCACTCTCCTTGATTGCTATATTTTAAATTAATTTTTGAACCCAATTAAAGTGTATTTTATGAGTAATCTTACTAGAATCTCTTAATTATAGTGCCCCATTTGGGATGAGTTGTTTGCTTGTTTTCACAGTTCTAAACTTGGAAAGAAGCAGAGTATATGTACCTAGGCCATATATTCACTTTTATTGCTTCTCTTTTCCATTTTAAAACAGAAAGAAATTTGTGGGCAAACAGGGAAGCAATATGTGAATCACAGTTAGCAGAGGCAGACCAAGCATTACCTTACTGCTTCAGAGCTGTACCTTGGAGCCCGACTGCACCAATACTTGTCCTGTGTGTGCCAAAGGCAAATATTATGTTTGCACCTTTTTTTTCTGATTCTCAGGTTGATTAACGTTGATTAATAATGCTAATGCAAATGCTTAAGTAGATGTTCTTTAAAACTTTATGAAGTAGATTAGAGGGAGACTTTCTTTGAAAAGTGAAGAGTTGATGATTACATACAGTAAATTCATGAACTACAGCAGGTTTGGAGCAAACAGAATAATTTTTTTTTAAATGAAAGTCTGTTGGTTGATGTATACACAGTGTGCTTCTTTGGCTGTTTTAGTTCTTGGCCTTGGTCTCTGCTAGACCTCATGAGTTTTGTAATTTAGAAGAGGTATTGGGTGAATTAGTGTGGTCTCCATAGGATGTAAACATGAGACACTGAGACTCACTATGATATTAAGGCCTTACTTACATTTGCTTTTCATCAATACACTGAATATTTTAAAGCACTTAGACTCTGGCTGATAATGTTGGATAAATTCTAAGGAAACAACTTTGACATTGTTTAAACTATTTGCATTCTTGTTTCTTATATCACAGCCCAGTGACTTCCCTATTTACAGATTACAGCTCAGAGGAAACACGGGATTCAGTAGGGGCCCCGGTGGGATAGAAGTGGGGAGATTCCTTTGTGTTAAAGTAGAGGCATTTTCCCAGGCAGTGCAAGAAAAGAGTTGCTTTCCATTTTCAGTGATCCCCTCCCTACAGCTGATGCCCAGCTCATTCCTTTGTGAGACTGATGAGAATTAAGCTCCCAAGGCATGTGAAAAGTTGAACATATACTTGGCACAGCACTCAGTAAAAGTTCGGCTCTGTGATGGGATGGTCCAGTTCTTGTTTAAGGAAGGAAAGTTGAAAAGTTATTTTCCTGTTACTAATGAGGTGTGCTCTGTGCTTTAGCATGTTAAATAGTTATAACTCTAAACCTGTAATACTTGAACATCACTAAGGGAAGTAAATTATGAAGCAAGCAAAAATCTGAGGCCAAAGGTTTTTCTGCCCTAACAGCTTTAATCGTGCTTGTTGATTTTAAATAATCTTTCTAAAAGTGGACCATTTGCTTAATTATTTTAATAGTTTCACTTCAACAACATGTTCAAGATGAGCATTTATGGCATTGAAGGATGTCTCTGTTAAGACACAAGTCGCTTGGTGTATTGTTAGGTGGAGGAGCAAAGGTTGTAGGCTGGATGAAAATTTAACTGACTAGAATATTTATTCAAAAGGGTCAGTCTGGGAAATGGTGTAACTGTTCCACTGACCTGCCCACCCGTGTGTGTGTGTGTGTGTTTGGGCATGGTTAGGGCATCATTCGGGGTTGTAGGTAAATGCACCTCCTGACCCTACCCTGTTTATTGTTCAGCAGTGATAGATTGTTGTGCTCATCTTGCTGGTGGAGAAGACTAAGGCGAACCTGCTCTCTGCTGTGACGTTCACCAGGCACAGCAGTGTTCACAGTTCAGCTGCCTGCCTGGTTTATTTTAGGTTCTGGTACTTCCTGTAAGCATTGCTGTAGGTACATGTGTATTAATATCACTAGTCCTGAGGAGTTTGGGTACACTTGTTTTAATATATGTAGGATGTGCAGTAGCCTTCTCCTTTTTAAGCAAAATTACTTGTCATTTTTGATTCAATATTGAGCTGCCAGATCTACTGTGAGAGTGAGATGGCATATTTACTGTGAGAATGACATAATGATAGTTTATTTGAAAACTTTTATACACACTTGTGTTTATATATTAAAGGTAAATATGTAAACACACGCATGCATATGTCACATGTCTCTTCGGTGGAGTTAATGTGAATTTTTAAATTTTAAATGGAATTGCAACCACAATCATTATGAAAGAACTTTCACTCCTAGTGAGGGTTTACAAAAGCCACTATAGGATATGGTAGACAGGAGATGCAAAGGGTCATCACTTGGGGTTACTTTTATTTAAAAACTGATCGTGCTACTTTTGAAAGAGAATTGTTATTCCTATGCTCTTTTTGTGATTGAAAGTCATCTGTAGTAAGCAGTAATAGTGAACTACTTTTTAATTGCTGGCAAACAGCTTTAAGTGCACTTTCTTTGATTACATTTCCATTTTTTGTTAAACTTGAATTTCCTGAAGCCTTTTATGTACCACTAAGCAAATAACTTTAACATTTATTAAGCCTGATTTACATCTTGATTATATTTCTAATTGTTATACAACGTACTTTCTAAGGTAACTTCAGTTCTGATATAGCTGGGGAACTGACGAGGTAGAGCAGCTGCTTTCCCTCCTGTGCCTAGTTGAGCACGAACTGATTTTACTGCTTGGTCTTGGCGCTGCGCATTCGTGTTGATGAGCTCTGTCCTCCCTTCACCTGGTTTTGTTTGAAATTTAAAGTTATTTTCTTACTGTATTTATCATCCCTGTTTTAATAATCTGCTTCCTTTAAATGCAATAAATCTCAAATGATTACCTATTCTTTATAATCGGTGGCTTTGGAGTTTTTCATTATTTGTCTTATTTGAAAACTGAGGTTGTAACCTTGTATTCAGTTGTGGTGCATTCACGCCACAGACATTAAGCACCTATCGTGTACCAGCTAGTGGCAGAGAAAAATGAATAGATTATGTCTGAGTTCACAGTTTGGGATTCAAGTAAGAAAACCCATTTTAACATAGCATTTTTGCAACAAAAATACTTAATAGCACAGTTTGTTCAGGCACTACAAGTACGGATACTTATGATGAAGGTAAGGCAAAAATGTACGACTTTGAAGTATCTTGTGAATGTTTGGCATAGTTTTTGCATTTTGTATAATTTCAAAAACTTTAAAAACTGGTAACACACATAACTTAAAATTTGGTTAAATAAAATCTTGTAATCCTTGATTATGTCAGAAAAGATGCTTTTGCAAGATGAAGAGAAGCCCTATTGAGTGGATTGCTGGACTGTTTGGTCTTGGTCCTAATACGTATTATCTTATGTATTATTCCACAAATGGGAGTCTAAATTGGTGGCTTGTGGATTTATTTTTTATGAATGGACTTTTTGTTGTTGAAGTAGTAGCATTTATCTAAAGTTATGTGGAAAAATAAGGGCTTTGTGTCTTTTTAATAAATGGTACAAAGCAAAATATCACAAATTAGAAAAGTTAGATATAAAAAAAGAACAGTGTGGAATGTACCACTGTTCAAATTCAGTTATAGTTAACTTTAGAGACCAATATATGCTGCAATCAGAGCTATTTATATTGAACACCTAATTCCTCCTTAAGGAAGTCCAGCTCCAGGATCCTATGTAAGATGTAGTTAATAGTCTCAGATTGAAGGCATGAGCTTTTGAGTTTTATTTGTTGCATATTTAAAAAGATAGTTCACCTTTGCTTCAGATGCTAGACACTATTGAAATTACAACTGTGTTCTGTAGTGGTTCTGATCCCAGATTTATAGAGGACTAGATCCTTGGTGGCTATCAGCCCTGCCATCTGAACATAGAAGTTTTACTCTTCACGAGACCCCTACTGCTGTTCCCGCTCCCTCCTGAAACTTTCTCACAGTAAGTTCCAGTTTTAGATCGTCACCTCCCTGCCTTCCTCGGGAAGTGTGGATAGGACTTCATCTCCCTGCCTTCCTCAGGAAGTGTGGTATAGGACTTCATCTCCCTGCCTTCCTCGGGAAGTGTGGATAGGACTTCAGTAGCATCGGCGCCTCTTCAGGAGAACAGTTACTGTGATAATGCATGTTGGCCCCTCGCCTAATAGCTGAGCTGACTCTTCATGTATTTTGGCAGGGGTGGAATTACTAGGAATGATGGTTTTGGGTGGATGTGGACCTGCTTGCTCAGCAGCTGGCAGGAATCCAGAGGCAGGCTTTGCCCCTTGACATTTAATACAGGGCAAAGGATATCTGTAGGTAGGTACCTGCCAAATGGAGAGTTGTACAGCTTTATGCCAGTCAGTCAGTCTTCGAATGGGTTACTTTGTCCAGGTGGGGTGTCATGAGATGTGACAGATATTCCCTGAATCTTCATTCCTGATTCTAAAATATGATTTTGAAGCTGTTAAGTATTATAAAGGACGAGCAGCACTCAATATATTTAGTAAACCAGTTTATTTACATAATACATATTTTGCCATGCAGCTTGCGAATCACACTCAGCTGAATAACGAAGAAGACAAGCACTATCTTGCTATTTAAAATTGCCTTTATATAGAAAGATAATTGTCTCTCAAATGAGTTAACTATAACCTTATAAATCACTATAGACAATTTAAAACAGCCATGGATAATTTTTAAATGTAAAGTCTGTCAGTAAAGAGCTTTTACATAGGTAAAATTAAAACCAGTCCTTTTAGTACTGTAGCTGAATGGAGTACTTTAATCTTATTTTAATAAATCTAGTAAAATAAAAAATAACTTAAATATACATTATTACAAGGCTCAGATTTGTAGTCAATTTTTAAATAGTTATTCTTTAATGTTAACAGTGTCTTAAAATTTTTTCCAGTAGTAATGTGCACACAGTAGGTGGTCAATAAATGCTGATATACAGAAGTGTTTATAGTTAACAGCAATCCACATTCATCCCCTACATTATAATAAATACATCATAGTAAAGATAGGAATGAGAAAGGATAGCTTTCTTACAATATTTAACACTTTCATGAAAAGATGAAACGTTTACATGGTATAATTCTCCTTACAGTAAGAACTTTTGTACTCAAAAAACAGTCTTAAACACATTATGTTCTTTTTATCTGTTAATCCAGATGACAAGTACTAAATAATACACTACAACAAAAAAGAATATTTTTAAAAATTAAAACTGGAGGTTCAATATGTTTTTGAGAAGACTTTATAACAAAAATGGTCCCTGACCTAAAATAACTAGACTGCTCCTTCATTTTTAAATTAATTGTAAATAGTGTATTTTGTTTGGCCAAAATGAAAAAAATATCTATTTAAAAGCAATAATATCATGCAAGCCAATAAGGGATGCTTTAGGGAAAATATATCCTATTATCATTACACTAGAATCTTCAATATTTAGCACATGAATAAAATTTGTGGCCTTATGCGATAAGAAAGCCATCTTCAAAGTAGTACTCCATCAAAACACAGTGTGTCCTTGGCATACTGGGAAAATTCTCTTTGCTGAGATCCTAGCATGGGGAATTATATTCCAAAAACACTACACTGAAAAAAATACAAAATTTTATAGATGCATAAACTGAGGCACATTAAAGTTAACATTCCTAGTATCAGATGTACAAATGGCATTTTGGGAATATACCTCACCATCAATCAACATTTCTGATATTTAGGAATTCCAAGGTTCTGAAGATATACCAATATTTAAAGCAGTTCATGTCAACTCATTAAGAAACTTGGGTAATAGTTTATATTCCAATAAACAACATGTTTTTATGACTGACTGCTTTAAGGGATTTAATTTATGCATATGAAAAAGACCAAAGAAGAGGAGTGTCACGTTGTGTGGTAGGGCATGGAGATCTATTTGTTAAGTATATACACTAAAATGCCCATTTAATTTTGCGGGCCCCCATATTAGTGTGTGTTGATACTCTGAGTTAGTACAATGCGAACACATGCATGAACAGAGAAAGACCAGAGCACAGGTGAATAAGCTGCCATGAAATGGGGCATTGGCATGACTATTCTAAGGCGCAAGGTTCATTCGGGGTCAAGACTGGGCCACCTGGATTCTATGGCCTTGAAAGTAGCACCCATATAGCTGGGAACCCCCATCAGGAAATTCAGGATTGCAAATACAGAGGTGAAAGCTGCAGGGAGTTCGGAACCAAAAACCTGCAATCCACTGGCAAGAGTTCCATGGTTACATGGACTTAAATAATATTACTTGAAATTAAAAAGCTTCAATGGCTAATCACTTGGTTATCAGACTACAGAATTTATCACCTGATCACGTAGTTTTTATGGTGTCTGCTATCTGATGGGAAATGACAATGCAAGGTATTTTCGTCTTCTCAACATGTCTTTCAAGTTAAAGGAGAAGAGGTTTAAAACTTTTGTTCCAGAAAACTAACAAGTCCGATGTTCCAAGGGAGAAGGGAACCCACAGCTAATGGAAGTAACATCTTATCTGCCAGCTGCTCACAAACCATGTGAAGGCCAGTGACGATTCACAATCACTATCCTGGCTTGTGTTAAGCAGAGGCTGTCGTAACCCTCGCCTTGATGAGGCACTTGAACTTGATCATCTGCAGCAAATATTTTCTACCAAAGTAATCACACAGGATGACTCCATTTCAGAATGGAGGTGAGCCCTTCCTAAGGAAATGAAGCTGCTGGTAAGTAAAATGCATACTATTTCTACTCTGGTTTCACATTCACTGTTATTCAGACGTTTCTTTTGAATGCCAACTAATTTTCACTTCCTGTACAAGCAGCGGTTTAGTAGTTTTAAGGGCCTGTAAAGCAGTTACTATTACAGATTCCAAAGTGTATTTTCCCATTTTTATAAAGTATTACTCATGATATATTAAACAGGAAAAAAGGAAAAACTAATGGGAATCTTAGAAATATTGGGGTATACAAGTCCCCGTTACATATTGCTCAACAGCTGAACACAGCAGGCAGCCATACCTGAATTCACAGATGTGAAACATAGTCGGGACAAGGCTTGCTATGTCTGTACTGCATGACATACACTGTTGACTGGTGCCACCAATATAACATCACTACTGCAAGGATGTGCCATATTTGGTGGCTTGATCCGAGGTAGTTTAGTTGTCCTGGAAAGGAAGGTAGAAAAGAGTATTGACTGTAATATTTTGACATTAAAATAAAAAATTTTTTATCTCTGGCCTTGAAAATATGACTTGGCAGCAAAAAGATTTTGGTAGTCTCAGAACTCCTAGAAACTGACTTGAAATTAAGACCCAAATATTTTTTAAGAAAGGATGAATTCATATTTGAGTCTGATTTTAAGGTTTTATTCATAAGTACTCTGGTGAATTTTAGAAATATTATTCCAAATGCGTTTTCAAAAATCTGACTTGGTTAATTTCAGAAATTTGACCTTTAATCTCCCATGTCTCAACTTATATCTGGTGAAGCTAAAACATTCCATGAGAGAAGCAAAGGAGACTGGTGCTACAGATCACAGAGGGAGCTGATAGGAAGCAGATACACTGCTGTGTTTGGCTGTGAGTCAGCTAGAAGCACGTTTTTATTTCAAGCAGCTGTGTAAAGACAAAGCTCAAAACTGCATCTTGAGCTATCAGACTAATGAAATAATCTGCAAAATGTAATTAGTGATGGGTTAATTAAGGTTGGGTTAGTTCACATACAACTTAGAACTATTTCTCTTTGTGGTTAAAGGTTAAATTCCAGGAGATTAAATCATTAACATGTGGGAAGCTTCTTGAAAAATAAAATACAGAGCTATGAAAATTTAAATGTAAATAACTTTTTCTTACTCTGTGTTTGTATGATCATGTAATGTAAATATCTCTAACCTTTCTCTCTTTTTCTTACCAAGAAAAATAATCAGTACACTATGTAGATTTTAAAGTGTAAGTCAACAGAATTCCTTCTGAAGGGGTTCTTAGCCCTTTTTTCTGTGTCACGGACCCCTTGACAGGCTAATGAAGCCCATAGATTCATTTTTTAAAAACCTAAAATACAGAGGATTAAAAAGAAAACTGATTATATTGTTATACGAGAATCATAGATCTACTAAATTCTGTCCATGGACACCTGAGGGATGCTTGGACTTATCAGATACCATTGTGATGTTTATATTCTGTTAAAAATATACCCTGAGCAGAAATTAAGTTCTTAAGTATAAATTTGTTTTTGTGTGTTTTTTCTAAATATGTTTTTACTGACTTTTAGAGAGGAAGGAAGAGGGAGAAAGAGAAATATTGATGGGTCACCCTGTCCCTTACTAAACCACCTGTTTCACTTGTGAGACTGGGGTTGAGGGACATCGTTATAACGGCTGACGTTTACTAAGTGCTCAGTACTGGTGAGGCAATGTGCTAAATGTAATCCTCACAGTAACCCCAAGAGAGAAACTATAATCTCCATGTTTCAGATGAGGAAACGGGAGATGAGAAAATTTAACTTATTTAGCTCGTGCAGCTTGTAAGTGTCCATGTGGGGTCAGAATCCAAGCAGATGCCAGAGCTGACGCTCCTAAACAAGCAAACACATTTTGGAGGACACTGCTCACTCTATCCAGCGTCCTCTTAGTTATTTTCTATCCGAAGTTTTTTCTCTGGACTGAGGAACCAGGTAAATCTGTCCTCTTGAGTGACTAGCTTGTGTAAATCTTGCAGACATGAAGGCTCTTCACTTTTATTATTTTTGTGTTAGTGCTGGGTGCCAGGAGGCTGACAGCCAGATTGGTGGCCTGTCTCTATTTTGTAGAGCTTTGCGACGGGTAGGTAGGTATACTGTGAAGGGACCCCAAACCTGGCTCCTTTTCACTACCCTCTTATTTTCATTTGTCTCTTTTCTTATTGTAATGTCACACATCTCTCCATATATAAAGAATTATGTGGTGACTGATAATTAGTGCTCTGTAAAAACTGGTGGCTGGGATTCAGAAGCCTCTGTCACTAGTTCACAGTGTGAAATGGTGGTAACCACACCTACTGGACTCAATCCACACTGCGAGGAGGACAAGAAAAGTTTGTGAGAACCCTTTGAAAGTTAAAGTTGCAGCTAACATTGAGACTAGATGAACCATTCCATAACAATTGAAAAAGTAAATCTAAGTTTATACATCAACCATACATTTAGAATAAAGTTACACTCTGATCGCTGTAGGAGCAGCACCTACCTGGAAAGTACCGCTCTGGAACTTTGGAAATGTAGAATAGGAAAGCAAGCAGCGCGATCACGTACATCACAACCACGCGGGGCGCAAAGTCCTGAAAAGCAAAACACACTGTTCACAGGGCTGCCTGCTGTGACTGAAATCCCAATTTATATGAATCTAATTTACAGGTTGAATTCACAGGTGGAATTCATAGGTGGAATTCAAGTCTGTTAAATCTGAATTGCTTTGCAGACAGTCTCCAATAATAGAAACCCCACTGTTAACAGTGCAGAAAGCAGTCCACCAGAGCTGAACCTAGAGAGTGCCCTAAAAGGTTAGCGTGCTAAAGGAGCTAGAGCTTTAACAAGGGTGAAAGTCCTACATCAACAACCCTGTCTACAATACAGGTATTATATGGGTGGAGTGCATGTGGGATGGAGTTACCAGATGAGTAAGCTGACTAAAGACCAGGGACTTGGGACTGGAAAGGTCCAAGAGGTTTGGCCCAGTAACGAGGTCTGTCCCACCATCCCAGGAAAATGGTCCTGTTGAATACTATTATGGAGCAGTCCATCTCACAGCTCTCTTGGAAAGCTTTTCCTTGCCCTAAGGCAATCAGCCAGCTTTCATTTATATACATTGTTCCTAATTCTGGCTATAAACCCAATTTACCAAGAAGCCAATTAAGAAAGACAAATTACTTTTCTTCCCTGTTCAAATTACTGAGAATTATCATGGCCCTCCCTAAATTCTGTATTCTCAGACTACTCAACTTAAGATTTCTCAAACATTATAGAACATGCCTCCACCTTACCTCCCAGAATTAGCCCTTCTGGAACTTTCATCTTTGGTTAAGTGTTTTTCTTTCCACCTCTTAAAAATTAGAGCTTATTGGAGAATTTCTCTGGAACTTGGAAAAGTTCCCATTTTTTTTTTCTGAGTTCTCTAAAATCCACTGTCTTAATGGGTCTGGTTCTCTTTCTTTGTTGTTATAAACTTAAAAGGGATGTGTCACCTCATCCCAAAATTTTGGTCACTTCTATGTCAACAATCAGTTATTAATTTCTGGTCGGAATTAAATCTAGAGTAGTAGTTCCCTATTCTATTTTCTTTACTCATTTTCAGGAAATCGCAATTCTCAAAAAATAATGTTTTCACAGATATCAGGATCACTGAAGTTCCTCATCACTAGACTCTCATCTTCCTTCAATTTCCTAGTTAGGTCTAAAGTATCACCCTTGTCCTCAAGTTGGCGAAGTGGCCTGATGGATCCTATCACTCAATTCATTAGATCACAGAACTTCCTGTTAGTTTTATACCCACGTGTGCTCTGTCACGGTGTTGCCAACTTCATGCAAGTATATGTAAGCCTACTACTAGTCCTCCACTTCTAAAGAAATCTGATTCTTTTGAGTACAACCTGTATTTAAATTCCCATATTCCAGACAAAGTTCCCACTGCAAAAAGTGTTCTGTGATTTCTGCTATTTGGGGGCATGTCTACTTCTGTTAAAATTTCCCAATTTTACTCTCTAGTGCATACTTACAGCATTTTTATATGGCTCTCTAAGAATGTCTTATTTCTAACCCTCTTTCTCAATGCTCCGGAGCTCTCACTGAGGTTCTCCCTGATGGACTCCCGCTGTGCTCCTGGAATAGCTTCTATTACTCTAACGGTTTCTGTTTCTCAGTATATTTTCCTTGGTGGGTGAAATATGCTTCCATGGCTCCAGCTACCAATACAATAATGATTTTCAAATCTTAATTACTAGTCTCAACCTCTAAACTAATTCTGTATCCCACAGGTCCCTCAAACTCAGCAGGTCCAAGAAAAAAGTCCTTCCCAACTCCTCCCCTCTACCCATAAATACAACACCCACCTGCTCCTACTTCTGTACTTGTGCCATCGCAGGCATCGTCCCTGCCTTAGCTGGCAAAGCCAGAGATGGTGAGTCCTCCTCCGCAGGTAAGGACCTGGGTGCTTACAGACTCAGGGGAACAGAGGGGGGATCGGAATGTATTATTCCACAGGAGCTACCTCAGAACCAAATGGTACGTATACTTCTCTTCCTGCAAGGTATGCTTATCTGTGCAGGTGTGAAAGTTAGGGCATCATTATGGAATTAGAAATATGCTCTCAAGGGACAAAGACCCAGCCACTTGGCCAGATTACGCTACTTTACCCAAAAGGAATTAAAAGGCCACAGAAAGTGGGGAAAATCGGGACTACATTCAACCTACCTGTACAATAGGAGCACCTATTCCTCCATTGAGCCAAACCCAGTGAAGAGTGGGAATTACTCCGTACCCCGAAACAGAGCAGAAGATGACGGAGCGCAGCCTCTGCCACTGCTGAGTGAGGTAACTGGGGTGGATCTGCGCGAAGAACACTGCCAGGATCATCGCCAGCACGGTGACCAGGTACACCTGGCGCCAGTACTGCAACGACAGGCAACCGGGTTTCCGGGTCATGGACAAGGGAAGGGACAAGGTCGTTTCGGCCTCTACAGTACACATTCTAAAGTACTGGCTTGGTATTTTCATTTCCCAACATGACTACCTTCCTTCTTTAAAAAAGTGCATGTTCCTTACGACTTTTAGGTTTCTCAGGACGAGCTGCTTAGGGGACCACGTTTATCATAAAAAGCATTTCTGAGGACCTCCTCTATGCTAGGGACAATTTATGTCCCGTGGAAACAAAGAGGACTATGCCGCGGACTCGCCCAGTGGGTGAGCTCATGGACCATGGGAGGAGCAGGCACATAAATCATGGTCACAGTCTAATGAGAGGTCCCGCAACCGCGTCACCAGCAGATGCCGCCGACCCACGGGGAGCGATTAGTGTTACCGGGAGAGGCTAAAGAATGCCGCACAGAGGAGATGGCACCTAAGCTGGGTCTTGAGGAATGCACACGATTTCGTGGGGAGAAGAAGCGCCCGGGCAAAAGCAGCACGCGCGGCCCCGTGCGGTGGGAACGCTTGGGAAGGAGGCCGGGGCCAAGCATCTGGAACTCCCCAGGTGGGCACTGTGGGCAGGCGGAGTTCTTGGAGAACGGGAGGGCACGGTGGCTCTTCCAACTGGCTTATCAGAAAGGAAACGAACGGTGATGTAGAAAAGAATGAGGTGACGGCGACAGGTGTTAGAACCACCGACTCAGTAAGGGAATGGGGCTTGGGTTCCTGCTCAACAAGGAAGCTGGGTATGGGCGCCCGACTCAGGAGGCATTTCTGAAGTTGTCTCATTGGCTGCTTGGATGGGAGAGAGCAGCAGGGATGTGGCACTGTTTCTAGTGTGAAAGGCCACATATGTCGCTTCTATCAATGGAGAAAATGAACACAGATGAACCAAATGGAGTGTGTGTGTGGGGGGGGGGGGAAGAAAACGGGGGGCATGAGACAATGTTCATTAAAAATATATTAGGTTTGAAGGGCTTATAGAATATTTAGGTTTCTAGATGAGCAGCTGAAAACCTCATCTTGAGGCTCGTAAGTTAGCATCTCATAGGACAGAGTTCATAATCTGGGCTCCAAAGACTTCTGTGGAGCTATTCACTTCCTGAAATCACACATCAAACTGGTTGGTTGGTTTGTGCCCAAATGTACATTCTTCTGGACGGAGGGTCCATAGTATGCAATCTCATTCTCAAAGCAGCCTGTGTTCCTTAAAAGGCAAAGAGCCACTACGGCAAGTGAGCATTTAGAAAAGATTAGATACCAGAGAGGGAAGAAAAAGTTTCCTTTAAATGATCACGGGCTGTATTAGCTTTAGTAGTTCTCCTTTCTCTTTAATCTATCCTGGACTTCTAGTTTTTTCCAAAGAGATTTACAAAAAGTGCTTGACTAATCTTTGATTATCTGACATGTTTACAAAGAGGTAAGCAGAAAACAAGTTTCAGAGAAACAGAGTAAGATAAGCGAAAGAACTCACATAGTACATGACTGTCCTCACCAAGCTCCTACTTTGCATGTGCCCTTTCAGTTTTTTAATGATGTAAACAGTTTCATGCAAAACAGACAAGTTGCAAAGGCTAAGAAGACAGGAATAGATTTTACTACTAAAGTAAAATCAATGTATAACAAGTTAATTGCATATATATTTAATTATATGCTTATGTTCCAAACTAATTAGGCCTAAAAAGCAAATGGCTCACATATAAGTGGCTATAATTAACATACACTCTTACATTCACACCAGATTTATGACTTTTCTCTTTGCTAGTTTTACGCTGCTGTTGTGTTGACAGTTCTCTGTCACTGTGTAGCGACAGAGGTCTACACAAAACTCTTCTGTTTCTTCTGTCAGTTAATTGTGTGCTTATTCAGAATTTCAAAGAACAATGGCAAAAAAACACCAGGTCTACATGAAAGGTAGAATGAAAAATGTTTTAAATTACTTACATTATTACAATAAAATGCATAAAATACTCCAGAGACATAGCAGCCCAGTATTCCAATAGAAATTCCTGCATAATCTAATGCCATCCATCTTCGACAGGTTTTTTCTGATCTATGGCAGGAAAAAAGATGATAGCCCACAGAGCAAAGCATACAGACCTACAGAAAATAAAACAAAAATAAGTGAAAGTGAAACAAAAAGAAATTAAACCAACTCATGCACAATGCTCAGGGAAATGGTTAATTCCAGGCCAGGCTTTCCGTTCACACACACCTGGACTTGGAGTTTAGCTCTGTGCTGTACAGTCAGGCAAACTATATTATTTCCCTAAGCCTCAGTTTCCCCCTGGGTAAATGGGGATAACAATATATAGAGAAAGAAATTTAAAATCATAGCTATATTACAATATAAAAATTTAAATAGCACTATAGTAGGAAAATTGCGAATACAAATGTTTTAAAAATATCTACTGAGGCTTATTTTGATCCATGAAGCAGTTTCCTTTTTAAAAAGTATTTACTATATAAGTAATACATGTTCTTAAAAAAAAAAAATCAAAGAACACAGAATTGTCTGATGTAAAAAAATAAACCCCTCCTGTTCAAATCTATCCTCGAAAGGTAGCCACTGATAAATTTACGTCCTTTCAGATATTTTCAATAAATATAGAAGTCCACACACACACAACACTGTATACCTTTTTAGATTAATCAAATGGAATCACATTAAACATTCTGTTCTGCAGTTTGCTTTTTTCATTTAAGATTTTTCATGCCTGTGTGAGATTTCATCGTATAGAGTTTACTTTTCAATTAAATTAACATGGTTTTGTTGTGTCCAAGAAAAAATAATTATGACTTTTGTTTACTTTGTATGGTTGCCAAATGGAGAGCGAACTAATCTGATTCAGTGAGCTGCTCTGAAAACTGATAAGGGTTCTATGGCTGAATCCTCTGCAGACATGAAATACCTGCCACGTGTCGTGCACTGGGGACAAGGATGAAACCTTTACTCTCAGAGAGATTTTTCTGAAACAAGTGAATAAGTGGGGTGATGTGAGAAGTCCCGAAGGAAAAGTCCGTGCAGAGCGCAATGAGAAAATAGAAGAGGGTGGGCCCTGGCTCTGTGGGGATGTATTGGGGAGGTGGGAGTTGTGGGTAGAAACACCTAAACTGAGTGCTAAGAGGTAGATCTGGTGTTAAATTAAGAACATAAATAAAGCTGTGCACACTTTTATGGAGAGGTCCACAGGAAAGGCAGTGTATTGAGGAAAAAGAACCATTAAGGAGTGTCACATGGCCTTCATGACATGATTATGCTAAGTTCTATATATCAAGGAGTTTTAACTTCAGTACTATGAGCTAGGTGTGATACTACTAAAGATTTTCAGTGCATCCTTACAGAAAGGCTGAGACGAGGTCACAGGAGTAGCCCTGGGGAGCAATGACAAGAGCCCATACTAGGCCAGTGATAGTGGGGGTGGAGAAAACAGGACAGATAAACAACATGAAGCAGGTCAAATGGACACATTTGTAAGCAACTGCTAAGGTTGCTTACAATGGTCATCTAGCTCTTCTAGAATCTGGTCATTAAACCTAAGCAGTCGCCATAGCCTCAATATCAAAATTCAAAACAATGTACCTAGTCACCATCTCATTTCTTCATCCAGTCTAAAACCCTTACTGGTCCATGGCTTTGGCTACTGAGCTACGAGTCGGTTTACTGACTCAACTTCACATAATTCTAAGCAGCTTGGTTATTTGCTTTTTCACATTATCTTTGAGATTAAATACAGTAAATCCAGAAAATATCAAGGTATATATCTCACTGAAAGGGAAAGATCTCATTGTCACAATGCTGACTGACACAAAACAGCCTGCAGAGATGCTCGCAGCTTGGAAATAGGCAGGCAGGCGGCAGGTGTGAGGCGGCTGTGCTTGCTCAGACGTTGGGGGGATTTTAACCCAAATTGCACAGGTGGTTCCCTCTGGGAAGTGGAATGTCAAGTGACTTTTACTTACTTCCATGTACTTTTTTGTTTGCTTGAATTTCTCCATGAGTACATCTTACAGGGATAATAAAAAACAACAATAAAGCTAATTTCTTTGTGAACAATAAAAGAGGAAAAAACTACAGTATCAAAGGGGAAGTACAATATACAGTGTTAATGGAGAGCACTGGGTTTTTAAAAAGTGTTAAAAACATACTTAGTATGTCCCGTTTTAAAAGGGATATCTTATTGTTTGAGTTCCTTAGGAAATTGACTGAAAAATTATCTGGCAATCCGAGTATGTTTCAGTTCCTTCTGTGGAACATCCCCCCCATCGGGCAAACAGGTAACTAGAGTGTGACCTCCCACATCTAAGCCCCTTGGCCCAGGGACCAGGCATTTCAGGATCTGGCCTCATCTTTCTCCATTCTCCTAGGCTCCTAGGCAAGTCCGAAAGTGCTAAGCTGTCTCTAGCTTCTGGGCCTTTACAGAAACAACTTTTTTGTACTTAAATGCCCTCCTCATTCTCCCTTCTGCCCTCCTACCTGAGTGACCTGATCTTTATGACAGGTTGGTTTTGTTCAGCACTGTATTCCTGATGCCCATCTTAGTACCTGGATTTAGATAGAAGGGATTTAAAAATATTTGTTGAACTGAATGTAAATGAACTGAATCTAGGGAAAGACGTTCTCAGCTAAGACAGAAAGACCTCTGGGAAAGTTCAGAGCCCCTGAAATCGCATTCTGTTACTCAGAATGTACTCTGGTTGGCGGGAAAGCATTGAGTATATAAAATGGGTAAAAGTGAAAAGAGAAAAAAATGTCATGTTTTAAAAATTAAACGTAAATCAATATTAATACATTTATTCATGGTTTACCATGCTGCCTGCCAATTCTAAGAATTTGGGAAAACTGGGTGAACAAATTATAAATATAATTTCATAAAAGTAAAAAGTAGGGAAGATGCACTCATTTGTCTTCAGCAAGTTTTACAGTAGGTAACAAAAAGATAATTGCACTGCCAGTTAGGAGAACAGGATTTTACTGTAATGCTGACTAATCCTGGGCAGATCACTGTAATACTTTAGGTGTTTCTTTATTGGCAGATTTTTTTTTTAACTATTTCATCTTTATAATTGTGCAATAAATTGTTTTCTTAGGCCAATATGAAAACTAACATGTTTTCCCTGAACTAACATCAGCTGTGTCTGGGTGGTGATGGGATAAAGGGCAGGCCTAAGGGTAGAGGAAAACATGTGGGTTCCTCAAAGTAGATAATATCCATTAACTAACAGGAGAGTACAAACCAGTTTTGCTTATTAATGGTTATTAAGAGCACCTCAGTCTATGTTAAGATATACCTAAAAATTTATAAAAAATTATTCATTGTAAAACTAGCAATGGATTCTAAGAGATATCTAGGCTTCAATCAGGACAAAAATTAAACCTGAGAAAAAGTATACTTTAACAAATACTTAACAGGAAAAGTAATTTTCTAATAATGATAACAACACAAAATACAGACTATTCTTTCCCTGAAAGAGCTTTAAAATATGATTCCAGAAGCTAGAATTCTAAAAACAAAAATGGTGGGGGGGCAGATTTTCTGATGTGTTTCTTAGTCATTTAAATCTAAAGTTTTAACTTGAGTCAAATGATGAAGGCCTGAAATTAAGTGATACATAATAAAGCAACATCTATGCAGCTGGCTTTCAGAGTCACCTTTTAAACCAATTAGCAACAGGTTAACTGTGGGGAGTGGTGGCCTACGTTTGGAGAAAGTGGGATAACACCTTTTTCTTTTCATTTTTATGATTTTCTGTACTTTCTGCATTTTTTTTTAATTTAAAAAATGTCAACAGGATGTTGGTCCACATTTGTTTTCTTCTTTAGAATAATGTTTGCAAAACGATCAATTGGAACCTCTAAAGGCACTGTATAGACCTTAGAAGAAAAACAGAAGTCCTAAAGAACTAACAAACATAAGAGGTAGAGAGGAAGAGAAACTGAAAATTTGAAACCAGGCAAGTGTAAAAGGACCAAAGGAAACTAACATTAAAGCAATACAAATGATCATCAGCAAAGCAAGACATTAAAATTAGGATGGTATGGAAACAAGTACAGAAATTAGACGTATAAATAGGAAAAAGGTGAGAAATTTTCTCAGGTTTTAAGCAGCCACTAGCATTCTACTTCAGCCAGAACATATAGTACAATCAGAGATTCGTATCCTCATATTAACCTTAAAGCAGAGATGTCTACAAAGGGAAAGAGAAAAGGGAACAGATTTTCTCAATCTGTAAAACTTACTGGACTTCAAATTTACTCTAATCATAATATCCAAATACTTTGGGCGCGTGTCCTGTAAAGTGAGTACCCTAACCTGTCCCCTCTTCTGTGGTTTTTAAAGCAAGCCGTGGGCGTGAAGTGTCGCCTGCCCCAGCCTGTCTGGCGAAAGCTCTCACTCCCACTAACCGTGTTTGTGAAATGACTTACCTGGAAGCAGAAAAGGCAAATGGAACAAATTACAAAATCTTCTCTGGACGCACTTGCCGAAGGTAGCACATGTGTCATGTCATATATTCCCAGTGTGAAGAAGAGAAAGAAACCCAGCAAATGACTCCAGATGTTTACAGTCTCATTAGATAAAATAAACAAACTGGAAGACAAAAAACCCCCACGAAGTTCAGAATCATAGTAGCTCGCTCACTGTCAGCATTTTAAAGGTTGGGGACGATTTTTCTGGGCTATCTAACACTTGCTATTTTAACCCTTTCTTTGCTTTCCTAAATTTGGTAACATCATTTAGTTTAATTTTTCTTCAAGTTTTTGCACAACCAATCCTAGGCTCTTAGACCTTTTTTGGTGCTCACCTGTATTATCATATTGACAATTTTCTTCCTCTTACTAGAGTTATTTATGTATAAATTCCATCTCATCCTCCAGCCTGTTAACTCCCTGATGGCTGGCACCATTCATCTTTATGCCACCACTGTTTCAAGCTTGAATTACATGCTAAATGTCTACAGAAATAAATGCACAGATAAAAACTGGATATTAGCTAGCATGCTTTCCTGTTCAATAATAGGTATCTGGAAACCTAAGTGTTAGGTGCAAACTTAAAATACCTTTTAGTATTTGTTAACTACAGATACAAAATTAAATGGACTTGAGAGAAGCAGAATAAATACAAATTGATTCACTGGGAAGACCTTTAATAAGACAGGCATGCTGGAACAACTTTCAAACCATTGTTTTGAAACCACAGTTTCCAGGTGGCATTTTCTTTTAGGAACAATAGGAGGTTACTATTGCTGACTAACTGGTTTGAGTTTAAGTAGTTTTGGCAGCACAGGTTGGTGTACCACCCTGACAACAAGTCAAGAGGCCTACTGTCCCTTCAGCCCCTCTGCAACAAATTAGCTCTGTGATCATGAGCAAGTCATGTAACCTCAATGGCTTCAGTTTTTTCATCTTTAAAACAAGGGAGCTGGATTAGATGTTGCTACAAGACCTTTCCAGCTCCTTAATTTTGTGAAATGTTTTTCCTGTCGTGGATAGAACTCATCTGATTATCTATTAAAAGGTGACATCATGACTAAAAATTAAAATATTCTTGCATTTCTCTTGAAAAATATAATCTTTCTAAACTAAGTCTTTTACTTTCACTGTTTCAGAATCCTTACTAGTAAGCATTAACATTAACCTACTGAATTTGCAGCAGTCACCATGGTTCTTGTTTCCCCATGTTTACACAACAAAAGCAGCAGGGTCTCACACTATCAAACAAACAACAAGAATAAAGGGAATCTTGTATCATGAATTTCAGGCTTTATCTCATACAAGCATCAAGTATAAAGACTACTTATATTGTGTGTATGTACATAAGGAACAGGACGCAGGAATGTGAGGGGAACACATCTAACTACAAGTCTGCTTTGACAGTCAATACCATGCTCTCTGCCTGTTGCTTCAGAACTTTTCATTTTGTGAAGCTCAGTCTAACCTGATTAACTGAACTGACAGATACGATCTTGGCATGTTCCTTCCAGCTAACAGAGTATTGGCAGAACAGTTGTGACACAATACCTCTCCTTATATCTAAAATCTGTCCTGGTCATGCTTGACAGCTAAAAGAAGAGGGCAGCAGCTGAAACTGGAAAAGACCAAGCTGGTGAAAAGAGCATATAGAAGAATATCCCCAATAGAGGACATACTTTTATTCTGTGCAAAGTTAGGACCAGACTGTTCAGCTTCAAAATCAATAATCATCTTCATCATCATCATCGGTTTAGCTTTGAAGTCAATGGTCACGATGATAAGGCACCATTCATTGTGTGCTTAGGCCCTGTATAGGGTTTCACACATATAATCTCATTTAATCCTTACTGCTTTCCAAAGCAGATACTAGGAACACCCTCACTTTTACAAGTGGAGAAAAGAAGACTCCGAGAGGTTAACTTTTATTCAAGGTCCCACAGTTGTTAAGTGGCAGATCTGGACCCAAGGTTTTTTTTGACTCAACAGCTCAAGATCTAAAGCACTGTATTTCATTTCTCCATCTATAAGATCTGGGCTTTAATATCAGAATGCAGAGGAACACTGCTAGGTGGGTATAAACTATTTAAGGCAATTCACTACTTGCCCTATCCTTGTAGAAATTTACATCCACAGCAGGGCCCAGCTCTGATTTCTTGTGTAATAACTTACGCACAGGAGGCACTGGGGAGGGAAGGATTCCTTAGGATTCAAATCGTGAGGTCCTGTGGACCATCCATTCAAGTCAAGAAGGACTGGACAGTGATGTTACCGTGTGACTGTGAGTCACAGAAATACTGTCAAGGCAGGGCAAAGGAACTGGGGAAAGACCATGCTGAAAAGACCAAGAATCAGACACGTGGCGGCTGCTTCAGCAATTCAACAGCCCCGATTCCAGCACTGGGGTTTCTCTCCACAGTGACCCGGAGCTAGCCAACCTCTGTATTTTAATTCTCTTAAAGCGGGGTCCTGTATTTAAGTACATACAATGAATTTTAACAGAAAGCTCTTCTAAGAATTAGAACACTAATTTTTCAGTTTTATCTTTTTAAACCCAGGTTTTCAAGAGGCTCTTGGAATTAAAGGGTTAGATGATGAAATTCAGAGTTGCTTCAGCAGTGCTCTAGTGGAGGGCGGTGCCCGTTATAGGCTCTCCTTGCCAAAGTGTCTGTCCTACACAGCGTTTGTCACTATGGCTATCATGCAATAGTGTGATTACCTTTTTAATGTGTGTCGCCCAGGCTGGACCTTGTATTAGCAGCTCTGGAGAGCAAGGGCCCTGCCTGTCTCTGCACCACCTGGAGAAGTGCCTGCCCCTCGCAGGGGCTCCACAGGGTCCCCTGAGCGAGTGAAGCAGGGGATCCTGTTACACACCTGACCCCAAACACCTGAATTTCCATAGGGCTGCCCTGAAAATACAGCTTAGGTATGCCCAGGGGCAAGTGTGGCCTGACCACTGTCAGTGGGGCGACTCCAACAGGGACCCCAGTACGCACCCAAAGGAAGAAAAGATGTAAAAGCCCCCTGTAAGCAGCGAAGGGGAGAGCTGGTCATTATGGCCACTGCTGCTATCAGCATTGTTGGGGACCAGGGGCCCGGCGGCGGAGGAGGGGAGCGAGGGAGGGGGTGGCAGAGGGACGGAGGAGGGCCCGGGCCGAGCGGGAAGCTGCGGGGACCGACCGAGCCCGCGCGTCCCCGGGGCTCCGTACCTTTTGATACACAGCCGGGAGGGCAGGTAGGCCCGGTAGCCGTCGGTGATGTACGGGTTGTCCTTGAGGGCCACGGGGATCTGCTCGTAGGTGTAGAGGCGGATGCCGCGGGGCACCAGCACCGGCCAGTACTGGTAGCTGCCCAGCTCGATGTAATGCGCGCTCCTCAGCAGCTTCTGAGGCATCCTCCCCGGAGCAGCCCC